ACACACTCTCTGTATTAAATCATACGTCACACTCTCTGTATTAGATCATACGTCACACTCTCTGTATTAGATCATACGTCACACTCTCTGTATTAGATCATACGTCACACACTCTGTATTAGATCATACCTCACACTCTCTGTATTAGATCATACATCACACTCTGTATTAGATCATACCTCACACTCTCTGTATTAGATCATACATAGATCATACCTCACACTCTCTGTATTAGATCATACGTCACACTCTCTGTATTAGATCATACGTCACACTCTCTGTATTAGATCATACCTCACACTCTCTGTATTAGATCATACGTCACACTCTCTGTATTAGATCATACGTCACACTCTCTGTATTAGATCATACCTCACGCTCTCTGTATTAGATCATACGTCACACTCTCTGTATTAGATCATACCTCACACTCTCTGTATTAGATCATACGTCACACTCTCTGTATTAGATCATACCTCACACTCTCTGTATTAGATCATACATCACACTCTCTGTATTAGATCATACGTCACACTCTCTGTATTAGATCATACATCACACTCTCTGTATTAGATCATACCTCACACTCTCTGTATTAGATCATACGTCACACTCTCTGTATTAGATCATACCTCACACTCTCTGTATTAGATCATACGTCACACTCTCTGTATTAGATCATACGTCACACTCTCTGTATTAGATCATACGTCACACTCTCTGTATTAGATCATACATCACACTCTCTGTATTAGATCATACCTCACACTCTCTGTATTAGATCATACCTCACACTCTCTGTATTAGATCATACATCACACTCTCTGTATTAGATCATACATCATAGATAGATAGATACTCTATATATATATAGAGAGAGAGATACTAGATAGATAGATAGATAGATAGATAGATACTGGATGGATAGATAGATAGATAGATAGATAGATAGATAGATAGATAGATACTAGATAGATAGATAGATAGATACTAGATAGATAGATAGATAGATAGATACTGGATGAATGGATAGATAGATAGATAGATACTGGATGGATAGATAGATAGATAGATACTGGATGGATAGATAGATAGATAGATAGATACTGGATAGATAGATAGATACTGGATAGATAGATAGATAGATAGATAGATACTGGATAGATAGATAGATAGATAGATACTGGATAGATAGATAGATAGATAGATAGATAGATACTGGATAGATAGATAGATAGATAGATACTGGATAGATAGATAGATACTGGATAGATAGATAGATAGATAGATACTGGATAGATAGATAGATAGATAGATAGATACTGGATAGATAGATAGATAGATAGATAGATACATAGATAGATAGATACATAGATAGATACTGGATAGATAGATAGATAGATACTGGATGGATGGATAGATAGATAGATACTGGATGGATAGATAGATAGATACTGGATGGATAGATAGATAGATAGATAGATAGATAGATAGATAGATAGATAGATAGATAGATAGGTAGATAGATAGATATTGGATAGATAGATAGATAGATACTGGATAGATAGATAGATAGATAGATAGATAGATAGATACTGGATAGATAGATAGATAGATAGATAGATACTGGATAGATAGATAGATAGATACTGGATAGATAGATAGATACTGGATAGATAGATAGATAGATAGATAGATAGATAGATACTGGATAGATAGATAGATAGATAGATAGATAGATAGATAGATACTGGATAGATAGATAGATACTGGATAGATAGATAGATAGATAGATAGATACATAGATACATAGATAGATACTGGATAGATAGATAGATAGATAGATACTGGATGGATGGATAGATAGATAGATACTGGATGGATAGATAGATAGATAGATAGATACTGGATGGATAGATAGATAGATAGATACTGGATAGATAGATAGATACTGGATAGATAGATAGATAGATAGATAGATACTGGATAG